GAAGTTCACGATGCCGATGCCCCCTCCGAGTTGGGGATCAGAGGATGATCTTGAGTCGGGAGCCTTGAGACGGGGGTCAATGCAAACGGGGGTCAGCCAGAGCGCCTGATCTTGCAGGATCCTGCAGAGCCAGGGTCGCATTGACCCGGGTTTGGGTGCAGGATCCGGCAGAATCTTGCAGGATTTTTCGCATTGACCCGGCTTTGGGCACAGGATCTTGCAGGATGTTGCTGGAGTCTGCAAGGCCTGACTGACCCGGGTCTGGATTGACCCGGGTCAGAAGATCCCCGATTGAGCGGGGAGTGGCGGAGCACATTATGCCAGGAGGATCTCCCCTTCAAGAGGTGGCGAAGCGAATCACCGATGGTGTTTTGCACGGCATGGTGTCAGAGCAGTTTTGGCTGAGACCGTCTTGTTTTACATGCATCGGCACAAGCTGTTCGAAGTCTTCGGCGTTATTGTTAATTGAATATCCTTCTGTCCTGAAAACACCCCGTGGTTGGCCCATATCAGTGCCGGGGCGGTCGGTCCTTGCCCAACCGCTCGCTTCTCGCGCTGGTGTTGGGTGGTGGCGCTCTTCGTTCTGCTCCTGCACGGTCTTCGCCCTCGTGCGAAGGAGTTGGCTGTTCCAGCGCGAGGTGATCACGGTGACCTCGTGTGCTCCCCTGCCTCCCCTTTGCCACCTCCCCTTTGTCACCTCCCGGCCATTCTGTGCCGTGGAGCTGCTCATGCGGTGCGCGGTTCGCCTGGGGGGCCAGTTCTGATGTTGTATTGTTTCTGCCCCGCTCCCTGGGCGCCCGCCCTGACTGGCTTGGGGGAGAGGGTGCCGAAACGCGCTCGGAGCCCAGCAAGGCGGGAGGGCCCGAGCCCGTCTTTCCTGGCAGATAATCTGGGAGGGGGCCTGAGTGCTGAACGATGCGTGGTTAAACCGAGCCTGCAGGGTGAGTCCCTTCTCTCTGCTCGGTTCCAGCGGGGCCTCTCCAGGCCCCCATGCTGGCGCGCGCGCTGGGTCGCCCGCGCGTTCGGTCAGTTTCTTTCGATCGGGGTGCCCGGGCGGACACGGCCGTTGGGCGTCAGGCGCGCGCTGCCCCTGGAGGGGGAACACACAGGAGCAAAAGGAGGAAGGAGGAGGAGGAGGAGGAGGAAGAGGAGGAGGAGGAGGAGGAGGAGGAGGATGTATTTTTGGGGGCGAGGACCGTGCCAAATCTTGGAGACAAAGGTCCGCAGCACAAGGAAGAGGAGGAGGAGGAGGAGGAGGAGGAGGAGGAGAAGAAGGAGGAGGAGGAGGAGGAGACGAAACAACGCCGATTGATTGTATCCGTGCCGCTAGTGGCGAGGCCTAGGGAGGATGACGAATAATCATGAGGAGCAGAGGCTGGAGGAGGAGGAGGAGGATGATGATGATGAGGAGGAGGATGAGGAGCAGCAGCAGCGGCAGGAACAATGAGGAAACATAATCTAACGATTGAGAGATTGAGAATGATGAACAGTGGCAGGAGGAGGAGGAGGAGCAGGAGGAAAATATCGAAACAGGAGCAGAGGGAGGAGGAGGTCACCTGATGCTGCCCAAAGTGGCCTGTCCCCTCCTCGGGCCTCTGGAGACTCAGGGCCGCAGGGCGCCAGGCATGTGCCCCCTCCTCCTCCTCCTCCTGCTCCTCCTCCTGCTCCTCCTCCCCCTCCTCCTCCCCCTCCTCCTCATCTTCCTCTTCCTTCTCCTCCTCCTCCTCCTCATCCACTCCTCCTCCTCCTCCTTCTCCACCTCCTCCTCCCCCTCCTCCTCCCCTCTTCCTCCTCCTCCTCCTCCTCCTCCTCCTCCTCCTCGGGCCGTCCGCATCCTCTTCTGCCCTCTGTGCTCCCTGCGTCAGTTCTTCTATACAACACGGCCGCGCCAGCGACGGGCACCGGCTTATAGATCCCTCGCACAGTGCGACATTGCGTCCTGCCCCTGTGGATGAGGCGTTCTGTATTTTGCAGCAGTAGCCCCGGGTGGGTTCGGGGAGGAGGACGAGGACGACGAGGAGGAGAAGGAAGAGGAGGAGAAGGAGGAGGAGGAGGAGGCGGAGGAAGCGGAGGAGGAGGAGGAGGCGGATGAGGCGGAGGAGGCGGAGGAGGCGGAGGAGGCGGAGCAGGCGGAGGAGGAGGCGGAGGGGGAGGAGGCGGAGGACGCGGAGGAGGCGGAGGAGGCGGAGGAGGAGGCCCCGTGGTCTCTCTTGGGCCTGCCCTCTCCCCTCCCGCCGTCCCTCCCTCTTCCCTCCGGGATCGCGGATCCGGTTTCTTTCCCTCGCCCGCCGCGCAGCACGTGTGGCTCGAAAGACGAGGGGGGCAAGGAGCGCTGGCGGGGCGGACGCATCTTTCGTTCTCTCTCTCTCTCTCTCTCGCTCTCTATGTTTCTTTCTCTGTCTCTCTGTCTCTCTCTCTCTCTGTCTCTCTCTCTCTCACACTTTCTCTCTCTCTCTCTTTTCCTCCCGCGCTCTCTCTCTCTCTATCCCCTTTTTCTCCT